CCCCCCCCCCCCCCCCCCACCTCCTCTTTCCATTCGATTCCTCCATTTTCCCTCTTTACTTTCATTTGGCTTGACATAAATGAGCATTTTGCCAGTTGGAGTTATAGTATAGTGATTTATATACACATTTATTAAAGGTCACATTATAGAACGAGGTCTATTAGAATATGAAGGATAGGAGGGTGAACTAAGAGGCATTAGAGAATAAATATTTATTTATTTATTTGTATGAAACCATGCGGCTGAATATACAGGGAAGTTAAGCATTTCGTTGGTCCACATGGTGGCGAAGACTTCCTCACTAACTGGCGAGTTTCCTAGTCAGTAGCAACGTGTCTGATGGTACCAATGGGATGTGCTCACCGTTTGTGTTTAAAGTCAGCCTTTCCTTCTTGAGACTGGTTACCTTGAGTGTTTACCGGGTATATTCACTGACTTGGTTCTCATTCAATCGTGGATGACGTATTGCTGTTAAAGTAATAATTTTATGCTAACTGTCTCTCGCCTGTCCAATACCAATCAGACCAGATCAACACATATACGCCACTAAATAAACAAACGACACCTAACTAGTTTACACCTACCACCAGACGGTGAATTACTCTTGACTGGACGTTAAGTTCGCCCACCTTAAATGGAAAATCAAACACCGCAAAAGCGTAATTTATGTTTTCACACGAAAACCCACCTCTTCTGTTGGGTGAGAAAAAGTCCCGAACATTAATCAATCTGTGTGTAATTAACACTAGTATCTGGGCGGATGTAAATGACCAGCGGAATACTAATAAATTGGACAGCTTAGATGGGTAGTAGAGATATTGTCCAATTTGGGATTGTGAAGCAGAAGAATAAGAAAATTTGAGCACAAAAATAGCTACTTTTTATCAATAGGTTCAAAGCCGCATTAACCACTCTAGTTGAACTGCCTTTTAAGTCTGGCAAAATTAGCCAAGATATCCCCTCAGGTAGCTAATAATTACTCTAAACCGAGAAAACTGCTTTCCCAAGAGAAGGAAAGTACTGAAGCTTGGAGATTGCTTTTTCTCTATGTTTGTCCGATGAGTAGCCTAAAATGTTTGCCAATTATGACAGCGTGCTTTGGATTGTACCAAACAGATGCTCTGAGGAGAAAGATGTGTGTAGCCATCATTAGTGCAATAAAGAGCTATTACATTCTTAGTGCGTGAGCGTATTCAAAAGACGAGCAATATGTTGAATAACTTCCATATTTTCTTAGTCTTTCCTGCCCTTTTGGGTTCAACTCATTCGTCTGTTACCTACAGGATAACTGCCGCGACGGCAGTCTTTGTACTGCTCTGGTGAGAGTTACCTTTACTTATATACATATACATATATCACTGTACATATCACTGTACATTAATTAATGAATGGTTTAGGCAGGGATTTCTATACTCATTTTTATTTTCCAAGGGGTGTGTGATAAACTTACCTCCACATTATGCACCCTGGGTAACGTATACTCATACGACAAAAAGGTCTATTAACCGACAGTTGACTTCTGACTTCAAATTACCTTCGTTCCACTGTATGCCATATTCCACCACTTCCACAGTACTCATCTTATCGTTTCCTTGCCTTTGTGCTTGTCTGTCTCTTTTACATCTGTGAACCACTCTCCACTTTTTGTGACTTTGTCTGTTACTCCCTTCTGAGAAGCCCGAAGTTAACTAAAGGGCTAATGGTAAATAACAAAACGCATGACATTTGAAATAAATAAATATGTTAAAGGGACCTAAATAATCCTTCAACTTGATATTCATCTTTTTTATGGCCAGTTGAAATTTGAAAATATTTGTTTACAGGCTTGATTTGTGTTCAATTTCCAGTAGTGTCACTAGGTTGACGTGACCTATGCGTCCTGGTTGTGCACATATGATATAAGTCATTTCATTAAGTCCTTGGTAATTGAGTTGTCAATGGATACAATCTACTGCATAAATAAGAATACAATGCATTCTTACATTGTTGCTGTATTCCACTTTCTGTTACCATCAAATTTTAATTTGCATAAAATATTAATATTCAGGGATGGGAACTGTTCGAGCTCACAATGAGGCGTTTTTAAGGAAACATGCTAATATCAAACTCATTGTTATTTAAAAAAATTGTTTCAACTTTGGATTGAATTAAATAAGAAGAGGTATTAAAAAATATGGTTTTTAAAATCTAAAAGGATAAAATATATTAGCTAATTATTTTTGAAAACAGACATTTTGCAAAAAATAGGTTCCTAGATTTAAAATTGAACGGGTAAAAGTTCATTTTTAGGGTGATATAATTCTACCATTTAATTTGGTATACATATCTATGGTCATTCTTCCAACCGAATTCAATTGTCATGTAGAACTGAAAGTCATCTAGGTGATTGCCTTTTTCAAATATTTTGGTATTCTAGTACCTTAGGGGAGGAAAGAGGTAAAAAACACCTTCCACTAGATGAGTATTGATGGCGATCCATATAATCAATAGAAGAGTTGAAACTTCGAAAACAATACTAGAGCCCTCTTTTAAACTATCCAGCTCTATAGGTTGTTGCTGATTAATAATAATTAACCCGATTCTAACCAAGAGTGAACTAAACACTATCAATCGAGTTCATTTGTTAAAAATGAAAGGCGATTTCGGGAACATTTATTTATTTATAGGTATCATTAGCCCTTTAGTTGACTTCGGACTTCACAGAAAGGAAGATGAACATCCAAGTGGTAAAAAGTCGAGAGGGGGACAGAATAATGATTCACAGACGTAAAAGAGACAGACAGACACAAAGGTAGAAAAAAAGGTGAGGTGAATACTGTGGAATTATTCGAATATGAAATGCAATGGGGTCATGGTAATTTGAAGTCAGAAGCCGACTGCCGATTAATAGACTTCTTTGCCGTATGAGTATACGTTGCCCGGGGTGCACCACGTGGAGGTAAGTCTATCGCACACCCCATTTGGGGAACATAATATGAAAGTTATTCTGTTGATTCCATATAGTTCCAACTCTCTTAGTCCTCATTGTCGATTTGCAATAATTTTATTTCAGTTGTCATTTGGATGATGGTACTGTATTTGAAAAAAGTCAACCCTTCCACGATGGTACTCAGATTTAAATTCAAACATTTTTGTTAAATAAATTTATTTCAAAATTTATCTTTGAATATTAAGGTCTTAATTTTTTGATGGAAAAAACTGTAGTTAAGAATTTTAGTTCAATCAAATTTTTATTCTTGGAATTGAAACTAAGATAGGGAACAAACTGAAGAAATCCACAGACACATTTTTTACAAAAATGGAAAAGATAAACAA